GTAATCGATCATTGAACAGATAAGCAATCAGTTGATAAATCGCCCGCTTGTCATTGAATTTGTGTCATCTATCGCCAAACCGTAGAAATATTTTATGATGTGCATGAGTGAAGTATTTTCGCCTGGCAGTTAGAGGGTGACACTTGACTGTAAGTAAAAGTGAGACTCGACTCGACCATCCGAGCAGATACACCTGACAAGCCTCATCACCCGCGCCCGGATCAGCAACCCGGAAATACACGGATGCACGGGCAGACCTACAGAAACATGGACCTCGCTGCCGCTGCCGCGTACCGGTATCACCACCCTAATCCTAATTTAAACATGATGGATTTTTATCACCAATGCAAAAGTAAGTCCGTTTCAACTTTTTCACACGCGTAACTGAAACCTGTCAGTCTTGCGTAATCCCGCCCGGTTCTACATATCACTGTAATGTACATGATGTAGATTTTCCCCGTGAGACCGAGCTATTGGTCAGGGTCTGGTTATGTTGTCATGGAATCGCGTGATTCCAAGCGGAGCATGCTTGTCATTCATGACTACAGACTGGTGAAATGAACACTTCCAAACAGAAATCTCTTTCAAAGTTGATCGACATTGTAGTACTTGTGTAAATTGCATTACAGAGGGCCATGGTCCGCTACGATACACTCGAACCCCTGCGTTACTGTGTTCAATGAATGGTAGAGTCAATTCGATTAGCGGCATAGTTGGTTTCACGTTTTGATAATTGTATGGAATGTAGTAACTTGATTCGAGGTGTCCAAGCTCCTTGATCCGTAGTTTGTGTCTTTATTTACTTGCTAAATCAACCAGCACAGATCTCATGTCTATCAAAGGTATTTTAGCATACCACTCGCCGCTGTCTGTCGATTTCACGTTTATTACAAATAGAATCTGATTGCGGTTCCACCAGCTTTCGTTAGCCAATACACGCTTTCACTGGCACAGAATTTAAATGTCAGTATCCGATATGTATCAAAGCAAGAAATGACAAGTATTCGTGAAATATAAACCCTTCTCAGCCGCGATAGATGGTTTAGGGTTCCCGTATAACAGGGTACGTAAATCAGTTCTCACTGTACACCGCAGGTGATAGAACTGGTGTAGAAGTTATCTGTCGCCTTTACACAACGGTGCAATGTACACGTCTTGTTCATTGCACTGGAATTCACACGGGCATTTGTTTTAGTAATAAAAAACATTGTTTTACCGGGAAAAAAACGGCGGAAATATCGGCATTAAAGCAGAACCTGCTCGCGATTTCGCCTAGGTGAATTCTTTCACCGTCAATTTCTTCCACCACGTCTTGTTTCATGGCTCACGGCTTCGTTTTAAAAGCACTGGCCCCTTGACAGAGGTGTTGAGTTTCATGTCGATATCCCCCCCCCCCCCCCCGTCAAGCGTGACGTGCTTCTCCCCATCTACGTTATACGACAACACTTGTAGCACGGTAAAGGGTAAACCTTGCTGTTTTCTATTTATTCAATATATGCCATAGTATGGATATTTCGCCCTTGTCCCTTTCTCTCATGATTGACAACGCAAATACACTTGAACTATCAATATCCGTGTTTATTTACACGTCCGATCAATTTCACTGTCCTTCTCGTGATTATCCCATGCCCTGATGATATTGACAAGTCAGTGGGCTCGAGCTGTCCGTTTTGTTCTCTACTATCAATTTTCCGCACATAATTGTCACTGTTACTTGCGCGAGACGTAGGTCTCGTCATTCACACATGCTCAAATATCAATATCAATTTTTCACGAAGTCGTAATACCGAGGTATTAATACCGGAGACGTCCACAGAGACCCCGAGAAAACAATTCAGCATGCCTGTCCCATTCCGGAAAACAATAGTCATGACAATTACCCGAGTTGGAATATAACAATTTGTCGTGATAATATTATCACTTTCATCAAAACAATAGTTTTGTTCTGAAATGTCTGGTCAATTATCCTCTAAAATCAACGGTTTCTGTGTGATGATATTCGTGATTGGCAATAGTATCAATATTCTGTATAAATACCATTTTGTGTCATATCTGAGAAATACTATCCATATTAACGGGCGAAAGTCCGTTGGTATGAAATATGTATCTGGAGGAGAGGTTTAATCCTTGGCTTACGTGCCAAGTGGCAGTTTTAAGTCAATATATCCATGGCAGGTCGCCCCCCACCCCCAGTAGCGTTCAGGAGCAGGCCTACCCCCCGAGAGGGAAGGGAAACAGATATATCACTTGAGGCGGACCGAGCAGAAAATAAACGATTTGAGGGAAGGTAACAGCAACCAATCGCTGAATGAGCCTCGCTGACAGGCAGAACCAAGGGCCGAGTCGCAACCCGAGAAATGCCTGCCTTTCAAAGTGGTGCTCGTTTCATCTGATCAGGCGAACAGCTCGCGGTTTGTTTATAGCTAATTAACTTATCGTAGGATCAGGTCCACGTGAGCGGGCTCCTTGTCCCACCCGCATATTCCAATCCAAGACTTGCTGTTTTACTCTGGAGATTGTTTCAAGCTTGGACGGGCCTATAGTAGCAGCGTCGGACATTGTTGACATTAGTCAACCTGTGCACCCCTCACTATACACTTTACTGTTTCACCGTCACCGGTACCCTCGTAATCTTTTGTGCAACGGATATTATTTTGTTGAGTGGACTTAGAAGCCCGGTCCCTCCCACCCCGTCAGTGCGTTACTTGCTGACTTGGGTGACGGTGGTGTTTGGCCTACGGACTGGACTTCTCGTGTTGATGACTCGTGTGCCTATCTAGTCATAGTGTCCGTCCGTTGTCAATTAAAATGTTTTGGGAGCAGGACACCATGCACCACCCTTCATGGGGATCGTTTCACCCATCGTTTGCCTTCAGGCCTCCTCAGACTTTTGATCCATATCAAGGTAAATATTTATTGTTGGTTGTCATCATTGTCAGAGTATTGGCATATGCACAGTGACAGCATCGGTGTCTATTTCATCCTGAAATGAACATATCGTATTAGATGATATAGATTGGAACGCACGACTTTGCGGAAATAGCTGAGGACAACAATTTTTATTTTTTATTTTAGTAACTTGTATTGGAATACTGCATTTTCATGGGGAAAAAATATTTATATTTTTGAGAGATGTACTTCGCTTAAAATAAATGCGAAATATCCGGGGAAAGGGGTAAATTTTAACGTTAAAGTACCTTTCGGTTCTATTGGATGCTTAGATTTCATGAGATTCAGTCTTTGATAATTATTTTGTAAATTTCGTATGAAATAAATACTTTTTCCGCCCGGTGATACCTGATAAGTGAAATGTTGTAGTATGTATGTACTATGTTAGCGTTTCTATTATAATTTAGGAATAAATGTCAATACAACGAAACAATTAATTTATCCATTCTTATAAACAGGACGTAATTTGCTAGTTGTCTAAAGTATGGGTCAATATATAGCAAATATAAACTAGGACCGATTACTCTTTCTGATTTTCACGGTTTTTTAAAACAAAATTAATATTCAGATGCCCTAATCATTGAACGATGTTCCTAGAATGTTCAACCAAAAGTAAAACCTCCAATCCGCATTACATAAGATTTATTGTCGTTTACTTTTCCAGCATTTGAGAAAATGTTCCCCGTCCTAAATCGTCTATAAATGGGATAATTATTTTATGTCAGAATATTTATTTTGCTATGTCATTGTGTCTTTGCGTAATCCTTTGAAAACAAATTTGTATAGGACACAAATATTTTGGCAATGTTTACAACCTATTTCGCCTAAGGGGAGTTTAGCTGCGAGTAAGTAAGTCATTTTCCCTCTAATGTTAAGATGATAGGCTTTTATTTTGGGCGCGATGTCTGAATGATGTATATTCCAGCCCCGGCTCTCATTATTTTTGTGTTAAGCCAGTTTTTAAAGGACTCGTCGCCCTTCTAGCTTGCTGCTATTTCAGCGGTATAACAAAAGGGCTCTTAAACCCCGGTCGGTTTAAAACCGCGAAGACGGTGATGCTTCACACACCTGAAGAGGATAGTCAGCGATAGGGAGTTAAATAGCTGGATCTGGTTCGTGTTGAATTGGAGGAATTCCTCCCCCGTCCTTGTAAAGTCATTTTCCTCAATACAACCGTCGCCGACACCAGCTTGACTCGACAGTTTTACAATCGGCGGCAATAACATTATGTTAGCATCTGACATACGTTAATTGCACAATCATAAGCAGTCGCTCCTCTGTAGAATACAAACTGATTTCCATTTGATTAGTTTGTGTATTACATTCTTACATCAGGCGTCCTTATATATTGTAATGGATATTCCTAAACTATAACATTTAGCTAGATTGTACTGACATACTAACAATTGGTTTCTTTAGTGTACAAAATAAGTATTCGATTTAACAAAATTATTTTCAATTTTCCTTTCAACCATTGGTTATGTAAATCACATCGGGTTGTGTATAGATATATCATTTTCCGATGATAAACGGTAGATATAACAACGATACCGCTATATTCCCACATGTATTTTTAATCGGACGTATATCGATATAATCTTAATATTTATATACTGGCCTGATGTATCTTTAATGACACCGAACACCACTTAGCAGCGCATACAAAATACATTTACTGGAGAAATCCATTTAGAACGACAACCACCACCGTTTTTATTTCTGTCTATAAATTATATTTATCTGTCTTTCGATTGCGTCGAAATAGTACAATGGAAATTGAATATACAGTTACTTTTTTCAATACTAGCATGTCATTGCAATATTAAATAAAATTATTTCAACGTTAAAGAATACCTCCACTGCCAGCGATTTATTATACCACAATAAATACATTCATACACCTGTGTACGTTTTCCGTGCTTACTTTCTTGTTTTAGGTCGATTACAAATCGGATATCGGGGTGTTTTCTTCTCGAAGAAAAACAGACAGTCTCAATTTGTGTTGGATATGTTTTTGCATTTTGCTAAATAATTATTTCTTTTCATTTCAGGCCACGGCGGAGTGAATCAGTTAGGAGGAGTGTTTGTCAATGGAAGACCGCTACCCGATGTAGTTCGTACCCGGATCGTGGACCTCGCCCATCAGGGTGTACGTCCATGCGATATTTCCAGACAACTTCGTGTATCTCACGGCTGTGTCAGCAAAATCCTCGGCAGGTACGTGACGCCACCGTCTACTCCACCATCTACGTCTACTACAGCATTGCTAGCCCGCAGTGCCCCTTTCTCGTAAGGCTAACTTTATCTAACTGTGTGGCTTATGTTTCAACACAATCAATATCTCCCTTCTCAAGCTAAGAAAGTCTTTCCACCGACTGGTATCCTCGTCCGTTAACACGGTTCATGTACCTTAATCAGTTGTCTAAATTTGTGTATTATTTCAAAGATATGAGTCTCTTCTATCAACCTAAATGAATCTAACAAGCATTTCTTTTTGTGAAATTGATGCCAATTTGAACTTTTGTTAAATAGTATTTTGCTTTCTAAATTGTTTGACATTGTCAACAAAAGTTTGGCAGTTATTAAACTCATACACTTGTGCATGTAAACATATTTCGAAGGAAGACTTTTGGTAAAGTCAAACATATAACACAGTTACACGCATTTTTAATTTCTCTTCTGTGTGACACCTTTTATTTATTTTCCTGTTTTGTCTGCCCGAATGTTTATCGTGATCCACCATCTTTATTGTGATGTACTTTGACACAACCCTTGTGACATCTCTGTGTTTAAATGCTTTCAAATTATAGGTAAATCGGAGGTGTATTGAAAATTAAACATTATGTTCAATAAACACTGACATGAATTTAATTCATACGTACCTATAAAATAGATGAAAAAGTTTGAGCGACACTATAATATTGAATACACATTGTTAAATGTTGGTAGCCCGGGTTGTGTGTAAAATGCCACGGCCCTACTGAAGGCATCTCACACACAGCTAATAACGATCTCTGAACGTGATTCTCAAGTGTCATCGAATTGTCCTACATGACACACTATAAAGGAATGGCATCTACATTGCCTCTGAGCCACGTGACAGATAGGATCCTTTGTTGGGTACAGTATGTTTCACATAATTGTTTGTACCTGGCAAATTATATTCTGTTTGGGTCCCTCAACGACGCTACGATCGTTCCCGTCCTTCGTGTTGTAGCCTATTTGTCCAGAAAACTATTTGTTATCTCTTTACAAAATCCATGTGTACATTCATCAAGTGGCGTAGCAATTTAAATAACTGAGCTAGATATTCCTTGTGTATTTCCTAAACCATTTGTGTCAGATGTAAACTATTTGTGAAATGTTATAGGTTCAATCATCAAAGTGCCTACATAAAGATAATCTTACACTCTTGACTATTACTGTTATGGATTTGGGAATTGGTATCTGTATGAGGTAAGATTGACGAATATCAAGCGACCAGATTATGTAAGCGCTTGTACATCATAATTAGAATATTGAATACAAGACTTTTAACATAATTCTCGTTCATATTTATCGGTCGAATGTTTACTAAATCTGGTTAAATATTCACATCGTTCCGCGGTAGAGTTTGACTTGAAGGAAGGAACCAGATTGTCTTGTAACTGAAGGGTCTCGTTCTCCCGTCGACCAGTAGAAGGACTAACATAACACTTTGTTACACACGCCCAAAGATTGGCCAACAATACAAAATTGCTTCGATAAGGATCTTCAATTCTCTCCCAAATGTACCCGTACTCCCCAATTCCCCGCAGTCGTGTGTTCAAGTAGTTTTTAACCATTGTTGAAACAGGCGTGCCCGTCTCCGTCCAAACTCCACCCTTCCTAACCACCGTCATTGTCTCACTAGATTCTCCATATTTCTCTCTGGTGCTCAAGGCTACAGCAATCTCTCTTCCACATCGCGCCCTGACATCAGGGTGACAGAGATTGCTGCAGGAAAACAGTATTTTACTGGCTCTCCATTGAGCACTAATAGTGCAGTTGGTTATTAAAGAGCTGTGGATTAATACACGTTATTGTCACATCAAACTCTGCTGCTCTCTGGTAGAGATGGACGCCGATTTAAGGGGGTGAAACCACATGAAACATTATCTTTCATCCATGTTCTAGGAAGGGGGGGGGGGGGGGGGATTAAAAATAGTTGTAGGCTATTTTATGCAGAGCTTTGTGGGGAAAACAGCTTCCGTGTAATCAGAAACATAATGCACAGGTTCATGCGTTCTGTCGTAGAAAAAACAACGAGGAAAATGTGTTATTTCCCGTGAATATGGCTTCAATTTCGTTATTCACTTCAAAGGATAAGAAACTTATTTTGATGGGTTTATATTGATAAATGACCGTCACATTGATAATAAACTGCGCATGGTGACAAAGTAACCGGTTTGAGTTTACACAATTAAAGCTACAAAGGCAGCAGAACAGTTTTTATTCCCAAGAAAAGTTCTATTAAACTTGGTGTCATGTTTAAATTAACACATTAGTCTCGTTAAATGGCTACCTTAATGCTCTAGATTATTTGTGAATTTCGAATCGTTTTATTTTCGGCCCAAGGCAGTCTGTAGTCTATGACATACGGGTCTTGATGTCAGCTGCATCAATGTTAACACTTCATTTAACAAAATCACAGCAATTAAAGTAATTCCTCTTTTTCGTTTTGTTGTTGCACAACCATGCGACACAGACAAGACTTGTTGGTGTTATATCACAAACCGTGAAGCATTCAGGATCACGATCAGGGCACCTTGATGTGTTGTGAAGGTTCTCGAACTAGCCAACACCTTGGGGCCTGTGCACTTTATGACTGTTAGTGTTAAAGACACAGAGAAACAGATGGACACAACAATCACCTTAATCAAAGCTAATGACATGAAAGAGACGTTAACGTTCACCCTGTACCTGTGCTTGAATTTATTGGAATTAGCTCCGGTGGGGTTTTGGAGGTTGCAATGTACATGCGATTAGCATAAAGGCGCTTCAAACACATTTCACAGACATTGAACAAGTTTCAAATGAGGAGAAATTACCCGAAATCGCTTTCAAATTGCCCGTGCTGGACTATCGGCCTGTTTCCAAGCCTGTGTTGTGTGTTGGCAGCCGGTCGGACCGTCACCCGAGCATTGAAGGCGGGCTTCGTTGCGTGATGCACCATATCTTGCCTCTAATCGCCGAGAGACAATCACAAGCGTCTTTGTTGACTATTGTTCCCCCTTGACGTGGGGTGTGTGTGTTTATATGATGGATTCCCCCCTACCACACAGAATACCCGTTATCAAGCATCCTGCTACAGCTCTCGTTTCACGCTAAATCCTCTCCACTGACCGTTCTAGCTAAAGCGGGGTGTCTCCTGTCCCACCCCTTTAACCCCACCCCCACCCCCACCCCCACCCCCACACACGCGCCTCCCCTTCACCCTATAGACAAATAAAAATCCCGATTTTATATTTATTATGAGATAGTTTAACTTGTCCGAGTAGCATTTAGAAGTTGGTTTGATGAACAAGGAAAAGTTCTTGTTTGTGAGATGATTTGTGAATATAATGACATTGTTATCAGTGTTATTATTATCAGTATTTATTACAACTTTCACCCATTCCGATGTTTGAGCTAGGGGCAATATCAGTTTATCTGCGTACATCCCTCAAGTATATACCGTACACTATCTAATATTCACCCTGGGACTTAGACAAATTGAAATCAAATTTCGGTGTAATGGTAGCTATTTCCAAAGTGTCGATGGTTTTTCCGATGTTGATTACCCGTACTTAGTGTTTAGGTCCTGAAATTGTCAGTTAGATGAGGTGACCGTGACCTGGACATAGAGCACTCCCCTGGCTTGCGTGGCCGGCCAGTCTCAGGCTTCATGTGGAAATAGTACACTTAATCATGGAGAAAAACTAATGAGATGCAAGGAGGCTGTCTCGCCATGTCCATAGATAAATATGACATCGGCAGAGCATTTATCATTTGAGGAAACTGCTATTACGCGAGAATGCCTAAACTACATACAGATTCTTCTTGGTGAGTGCCTGTTCCCCAGCTCGAACCCTTTCAACTCACTGCTTGTGTTGACCATTCCAACAAAACAAACTCTAAAATGCAAACTGTTGACAATAATCCTGAAAATTGCCTTTGTTTTCCGTGGTTGTCAAGCATGAAATTGGTTATGATATTGACAGTTATTATTATTTATTTACTAATTTTCATGATGATAAATAATTCAGTACTACATAAGGAAGCTTAATGGAACGCGGTGAAGGTAATGATCCGCCATAAAACCTTCTCAGTTAAATGTGATTCATGAATAAACATGTTGAGTCCCTGAAAAACGCTTACTAGTGGCTTAATATAATTAATACGTATTTGTGGACAAGATAAACGCTTTGAATAATAGAAAGGCGCAGATTACCTAACTGGGTGCCGTTGAGGATATTGCTTTTTAAGATCACCAACTCATCTGTAAATGTACATTGCTTTAGTTTGTTTGTACAGTCTGAAACTAAAGGGAGGCCTCCATGTTCTGTGAATATAAAAGATATTATTGGGTTTTTTAATCGATTTCAAATATTACAATTTACGCACAGTTAATGACGCGAATTTCTCTAGAGAGGTGATACATTAAATGTATTCATTCAAGGTTGAGAAGAAGGATACTTACCCCCAAAACAGTATTTGTAACCCTAGTTGTTTATGTTTTGTAATGTAATACCCCGCACGAAACACCTATCTTCCGATTGCACAATAAACCATGCAGTATCACAATGATTTCATGAATTGAGATTGCGTTGCCTGCTTGTTGGGTTGAGGACGGTTATTGCTTGCTTTGCCGTACAATGCATTCAGCATAGTTTACACTCTCAGCTACATTAAATACCGTTGCTTTCAACTCGAAAATATCATTTTCTGAATTAGATTAATATCCGATGTAGCTGGAGTTTAATCGGCAGCCTGGTCCGTCATATTTGTGTTGCTACAAATACCATTCAAATTACGAGTGTGCGCGCATTGTGCGCTTATGTAGGCGCTTTTAACAAACCTGTTAATGAACAATATTATTGGAATATATACATATTCACCCAGCTGTTGGGGCATCAGATGTGTAGAGATCACAACGGGATATTTAAATGAATATGCATAAGGCCGATACCGTGTAATGTGATATTTGTTTCTGCGGTGTTCGGATAAATCTAAATGAACGTCTTGCTATGGTCCGGATTAGGTCAACCAGTCCTCGCAGACCAAATCTCATGGATTAATCTCAACAACATAACAGAAAATTAACGAAGCATCCAGGTATAAATTATTTCATCTCGATATTTTTAATCTGAACAATTTTCAGATGAAATGATACGATTAAGTATTTGTTGTTTATTTATACAGAATGAGGTTTGACACGTCGATACAACCCGAGTGCTACATTGACGCTGCCCCGATCCTTCAAACAACCTATCGATTTCGTTGTTTAGTAATGAACTTTATTGTTAGTGGACTCTTGGCAATAGATCCCTCCATCGCCCCTGGCAGACATGCTTTTACTTCATTTTCTAGTTTATCGACAAACTTTGCGAGTTTCCTAGTTAGTAGTTTTCAATGCCGGGTAGAAAGCGTAACAGCTGCAAGTTTGTCTTGTGTGGCGCCTAGCTAGCTATTCATTTCAGCTACTACATATTGTCTTTCCCGCCCCGTTTTAGTGTAGCATCAACATTGAGTCTTCATTATTCTATACAAGTTAAATGCACGCAACTCATGATGAACCGATAGATTAGATTGTGTGGTAACATGTTTGACTATCGATTGAACGGAGCTCAGGAAAAAGGCAAATTCTCATAATCTGATCGAGCGTGATTTGTTTTCAAGAAATTCGATTCTGACGATTTCTGTTAATTTTCTCCTCTGTTTATTTATTTGTGTATCACATTTCAGCTATATTGATGTCTGTTGCGCTGTCAGGGTAATGTTACGAGGTTTAATTGGAAATGACAAGCTCTCGCGCCTGCAATATGAACGGTGTACGAGACATTCTGAGTTATAGCTCACATAAAATGTGCCACTGGTTCGGATCGGAGTTATTACTCTATAAAAAGCTTCACCGTCAATTGATGCGTATTACATGTTGACTAAAGCAAATAACATTTACGTCTATTAAAACTGAAACGACGTACACCACATCATGTAGTTGCAAGTGCTTGTTTCACATCATTAAATCATATCGTCCACAGGCATGGAAGCATCTTGTCGCTTGTAAAATGATCCGCAACGCATGTTGATAAAAATGTGTTGTACAAAAAAAAGACTGTCAATTAAGCTTGAAATTTATGCTAATATGTGGGCTTGTTCGACCACTACAGTCATGCTCGACAAAGCATCCCTCTTGATCGTAATGTCACTGAACCCCATGAAGAAATATTACTTGCATGGCTTTCCCCCAAAACTTAAATTACTGTAATAAAATAACTGCCAAAGCTTTAAATACATTCAAATTCAAAAACAAATAAGATAAACGAATGTTTGTTTGGAAAGTATTGTTTAGTTTTACGTCGACTCTCAGGAGGAAATTATTCTTCCATCCGTCACACAGAGAGAGAGAGAGAGAGAGTCTCTGTTGTGAATGTTACACGAGATCATGTAAACACTAACGATTCATTAGGAGGAAGTGTTTCAGTATTCTATCATGAAGGAATACATTTTCTGTGAACAATCGTGAATACATTACAGATGTTTCTGATCTATTGAAAGCCAACACGCGTGTCTCAATGTGCAGCTGTATGAGGAAGTATACTTGTTGTTGTTTTGTGATGTGTTTCAATCCATATTCAGGGCCCTGCTGTTTATGATATGACATATGTTCCAGGTATTATGAAACAGGTTCCATCAAACCAGGAGTTATCGGCGGCAGTAAGCCCAAAGTGGCGACCCCCAAAGTTGTGGATGCCATAACCCGCTATAAGCAAGATAACCCCACCATGTTCGCCTGGGAGATCAGGGACAGGTTACTTACAGAGGGGGTGTGTTCTCAGGACAACGTGCCCAGTGTTAGTTCAATAAACAGGTGAGTGGCCAATCAAATCACAGGAAATCTCTGAAGATTATTGGGCGCGAAATTGAAAACCTAAGCCAATCCATAAACTTTTAACGAAGAAACGTAAATGGTGCTCCTTGAATTATTTAAGTACAAAGACGTCCTACTAGCTCATATAGTTGCTTTGGTTGTAAAGTTTGAAAAAAACTCTGTGTGTCTATGTATTTTCGTACACGTCCTGAAATGTGGAGATCACGTAAGGCTACATGGTAAAATCAATACTGTGATATCGAGCTCACTACAATCAGAGATTTCCCGAGGGTATCCGTTTGTCTATGCTGTCTATATCGTCTAGTATCAGGTTGTATGTTTCATGTCAAGTGTTGTCTATTTCCCGATTACTATCACTGGTCAGAAGGACGGCGTGATAACACTGGCGTACATGGCTCCTCTATTTCATGTTTTGCCTGAGACATGTACTGTATCATGGAGACAATCAGGGAAATAGGCATGCAATATACAGCCCTCGCACGGCTTTTCCTGTCATACCCCAAACCTTCACCATATCAACATCGTTCATATCACGTACATGGACAAGTATCATTTTCTCCGTTCAGTGTCCTCACGTCCCCATGTGTTCAATTGATGTGTTCAATTCACCGATGACACAGATCCAAATATCTTACCTACCATCTTTATCTTAGCTCAGGTCTAAGTGTACAAACACATCACATAGATACGCTTCTGTCGGCCTATCAATAGATACGTTTACATCAGCCACAGATATCCTTAAACAATTTAACGCACCGTTTTTGTAAGATCTGTCACAAACTCCTTTGAGATTTGGCAAGCACGATAGAGAAAGGTTAAGCTATCTGCCGAGAACCACATGGCCGAGCAGTCTAAGGACTACCTCGTGTTGTGCTGTAGGACATCTGGGGACCCGCTGCCTGCTAGAATGTCCTCATCTCGTGCCAATACGTCTTAAGGAGAAGTCAGGTCGTGGTTTAATGTGCCGGACTTAGTGTATAGCAAGTCAGGTGTTGGCTGGTCTTACACCTTGATGTGGCAGGTGGTTATTGATGGCTAAAACTCTGAAATCGATCACTTCATGTCAAAAAGAAAACAAATGTGTCGAAATCAATACCCTCGGTCTGATTTTCAACTTTTTGTCAACAGTATTTCAAAGTGCTTAGGCACGAAAACGGTTTGGTAGAAATTACGTATAATGATAGTAATTCAAAATTGTAGACCGAGTTTAAGAAACCATCTCTAATGATCTCTATTTCAGTTCGAAATGAAACAAACAACACTACTGTTGGACGCAGATTTCAATTTTGGTTTCATTGTTTTCAATTTCTTCAACTTGTAGATGGAAAAAAATGTAAATTTCTTAAACGGTTGCTTTTTGACAAGAGTCGACAAAGATGTCATTTGTGGTATGACGAGATCGTATGTGACTCACAGGGACGGTGGCAGGGTCAGGCAATACGTCCCCGGGGCTTACACGTCCCGAAACCAAGGAGCAGTTGGGTAGGGCCTTTCCTGAAATGGGTTTCACTTTGCAACAGAAGTCTTATGTGTCACTATTACTTGAAACCGACACTTCGTAAGTTCATGCTGGCCTGGACGGTCTCCCGAAAAAGCATTAATCTAGAAAACAAGTTATGGCACGAACAATAGAACGTGTATTGAAAAAAGCCTGCAGTTATCGGCAGAAGGGAACAGAACGATCCGCCACACGCAAGTTGGGGTCGAACACTTGGTCCTGTGGTTTATTTACAGGTTTCTGATTTGGGGGCTTCCATGACTCAGGGATTTAAGTCAAGTGTTATGACATTTCTGAAGTCGGAATGGGCTCGGCTGAAAACTATGAACATGCAACATAGACACATGTCAAACCCTCAAACAATAGGCGTCTTGAATGCAGACAGATAGAGTTTGGGCTTGCTTATAATTTCTATTCTTCTTCGGACATTTTGCAAATATTGATCTACGACATGAAGGAGTATTGTCGAATTGTCGTATTGAATGTCAACATGTTTTGGCAACAACTAGCCACACGAAGTTCCATGATGACTTCATTTTGGGCACGGCTACAGGTGTAGTAGACTTTTGAAATGGTAATCGTTTTGTCATCGAGTCACTGACTGCCTAAATCTGAAGCACAATTTAAGTAGAACCTGTGTATTGACTGAAACCCTCAGCTGTCGTATATAGCCTTTCAATGACCTAATTGTTCTTGATTCCGGGGATTTGATTTCTTGATAATATACCTCTTGCTCCACGTTATCACTTACAAACCGTCTCGCTAATACACGAAAGACACATCGCTTCTGATCCCTTTGTTGGAAATGCGGTATTCAGAATACGAACCGGTGTCCTTTGACCAGCCTGGGCACCCATACCGGGCTCAGTTCAATCTGTTCTTCACTCCTGTACCTGTCACGGATTAGGTTTTTTTTCTGTGATGTTGGTCAACGTTTCAGCCCACCCGTCTAACGTTCCCGCAAACTCCACGCCTCTATTCAGCTGTCCAATGTAGAAAGACTCCCTCACTTCTCGAGTTTTAATACGTTTTTTACAGTCTTTGGCTTCCTATGCGAGCCGCTTGTCTCGTAATACACTTATCAATCTTTAACGATTGCTGGCAGTTCGTCGAGAGACGAAAAAACAACACCGCTTCCCGCTAAGCCAGTGATAATCGCCGCTTCAAGCTCAGTGTTAAACTAACGCGGAGACCCCCCTTCAAATCCGAGAAGGCTATAAAAGCAGCGGTCTATAATTCGAGCTGAAACAAGAATCATTTGGTCTGACAAGAGAGTAAATCTAGGACCTCTCCCCCTCTGTGAGGCCGCTAGTCGTGGGGCATAGTTAAAAGTTATTTTAAAGACAGACCCCTGGTGTGAAGGACAAAACCCTCCCATTTGTTCCTATGTCCCCCCTCAGTTTAATAGCAATGAGGTTTCCGAGCCTCATGTGCACCCATGTCGACAAAGACATCATCGTCACTGGTCATTGTTTGGCTTCGAGTAGGACCGTCACAGGTGACTCGGGCCGCATGACCGTAAAGGCATTTCTATTTCATAAAGACTTAAACGATGTTTAAAGCGTTTTAGCTTTAATGCCTTTCTAGTGCGCGAAACAATAGCATGATTCAGAGGACACCATAAAAAGCGAACATTTAAAAGCGAAAACCTTCATCCTTTCTCACGAGAAACTTAGATGTTATCACGTTTACACCTCGTCATCTCACGCGATCATATTTTCCACAATGATGGTCAGGTTTTAAACAAATGGACAGTCCCGACGTCCAACCACGCTTCATTAAGGGGGCTTGTAGTTGCTAAATGTATCTGGAGAATCGGCCTACCATGCTTTGACTTGATCAAGTAGAGAGAGTAATAGTTCCATACTTTAAGCCGTAAATGACATGGGTGTTCTCGCCGTCGTTAACATGGGTAATTGACAGCAATAGAAACTTGTCCGTTTCAGACGTGTCTATTTCACGTGTAAATAAACAAATATACAGATTCAGAGGTGCTCAAGCCATGGTTTTGTTTGTCAGTCGCCATAAGGGGAAGATTGGTAAAGCAATGAGAGAAGCCTAAATCAACCGTCAGAACACATTGTTCTTCGGGTTAATGCCTTGGTCATCCTAGCTGATGCCCCTTTAGGTTTTTCAAGTTTAAATCTGTTTTACTGCCCCCACATGTTGTGGGGCGTGGGATATACAAGTGTTAGAGATAGGACGGTCAAGTACCACTCGGACCACTGCCAACGCCACGCCACGCCTCCCGCCCGCCCGCACCGTGTCCGTTGCTGCTAATATCGCTCTTTTTCTTGGCTAATTCCAACTCTCTTTAACTAATGTATACCCTTCGGGGCTAATGATAATTAAGACGGGACGATGAATTCACATTAAAGAATATCAAACAACTAGTTGGAAGGGGAATGAACGCCTGCGACACAAATGATGCCTTTAAAATCAATTTTCGCCAAAGGAATAATAATTCTGTCATTTCCTCTCGGTCCATTATGATGACCGTCGGTGGAGCTATGATTCACGCATTTTGTAACCCGGCTGAGGGCTACCCCAGCTGCCGAAAGAACGAAAAAGTATTTTCACATGGCAAAGAGAATCGATGGTAGAAAATAATTCATCTTCATTTTCTAAAGCAATTTGTGTCTGTGAAAACATAAATAGCTTTGAGGTAGGAAAGCGGTGGTTTCAGGTTCCATGACTGTCAGAATGATGTCTTCAATAGTAGTTGCTTAATGCCGACGCTAATCTGATTGTTGTCATTACTTTTACAATCCTTGAAAGAATTTCTGAAAAAAAATAGATAATCTTGGGTTTTTTTAAATTATCATTTAACGCTTCGCATCTATACCGATTTGCTTGATCTCCGTAATTGTTTTGCCCTGACCATATGGTGTGATTGCATGTATTATTACCAGGTGATAGTGTGATAGCACAATGTTCATGCATAAATACATGCTCTTGCTGTGCTTTAATACGTGACCGTCTGATAACGTCGGTGTTATTTACACTGATGTACTTCGCGGCACAAATGCCATACATCACTGGGCTTTGGTGTGGCTCCCGAAGGAGCCTGTCGACAGAAAACTACAAAGAATATGTGTTATGATATTTCACGTGCATGTTAGAACAGCCAGCGAATCGCGAAATTTCATTCTATTTGTCCAAATTGCCCCCGTTCACATCCAAAGAAAGCCGGTCGTGATGACAGGCTGCGTGGAACACAGGGTAGATCGGGAAACTCGTTCCACGGGGTGATTATGTCGCCTTGGAAGACTGAGTTCGATCCCGTTGTATCCGAACTCGATGATTGCCAGAAGTGGAGGATGGTATTAGGAGTGTTTAATTAATGTCTTGGCTCAGTCGCATATCCAAATGCCTGGTTGAGAGTTGAAATGCCATAGAGTTTTACTGAAGCATAACATTCTCCCGATAAGCCATCTGCTGGTCTGTTTCTTCATCTTCTCGCCATCGCAGGCGTCAACCGTTGCGTGTCTTGATGTGGACGTTAAGTTGGTTTGGTCGAATATGTCGGTCAGTGGCCATATACAGAACGGTAGTTTCGCTGTACCAAGCTGATACCCAGCTGATACCAAGCTAATACCTAGCTGATACCCACTCACCAACACCCCATATGGGAGAACAGAAATACATCGCCCCGAATTTGTTCGTTCTTAAATTTCTATCAAGTTAATTGAACCATTCCGCATGAGTTCTGCTCATCGCTCTGCAGGAATATTTGAACATTTGTTCTCGATCGGTTTAACACGCTCTCTAAATGCAACAATGGACGAGGATAAGAGATGAAGTCTAGCAGAAACCCTCGCGTAACTCTTGCATTTGTGAGGCAATATTTTGTCATCAGCAATGTGAACATTGTGCTAGTCGCCTGTCGTTAAGGTACATTTTAATTGCTCTTTAGTCAAGAAAGTTAAATTTACAACTCTTCAAATAGCTGAGATAAATTTGTACCGTTCATCGTCCTCCAAATTAGGCGCTATAGTGTTTCCGCCTTGCACACGGTAGCACCAATTATAACATTACGAGTATGAATTATTGTGGGTTAAGTTAATCCCTGCCAGATGACACAAAGATTAAAGACTTCAGGCTATGCACTGATGAATTTTTCAAATGCTCTCCGATTATCTAGAAGAGGTATTCATAACGGCAAGCAACCTGGCTCTCATGTGGCTGACTCGAATCTGTCGACGGTCCACACTCGTCATGCAACAGTCTGTGGTCCACATTGTCTCGGGCGATCTTTGATACACCGACACTAGTAGTTTTGACAGTTTAACGACCTATTGACAAATACCAATATTATAGAACCTATAACAGTCCACTTGTCCGTGATGGTACAGCTCACAGTACTGTGGGATGCCGGCGTTGTTGACATTATTAATTATTACAGTTGCGACCCCAGCAAAACAACTTAAAGCTAACCAAATACATTTTTATCAAATTTAATTAAGAATAATTTCAGTTTATTTTCATTAACAGTAAACAGATGGAATACCGTGCGCCAAAAGTTATTTTACAAACTGATAAAATATCTATTTTTTATATCATATTTCATCCTTGATTGCGTTTCTAAAGGAGATAGTATAAATTGATTGGTTTGAAAAAACTTTGCATTTGATATATTTCATTCAATTTCTCAAAGTCCCCGGTGAACTCCGGAAACGTATCGTACTACAGACACAGGGCTCAGGTGTAGCTTTGCGTGCTGTGACAGCATGGCTGAGTTTCACAATAGGTGGCATTACGCATACCCCGAACTAGGCCGGTGCCAGGGTATCGCAGGTCAATCAGCAGACCCTTCCCGCACCCCCCGACAGACCAGGCAGATCCTGCATTATGAAGGGGTGGTCTTCTAAAACACCCAACTGCTAAACAGACTGATCCAACCACTGTTCATGGAGTGTCTCAAACAATGGCGTCTTTTGACGGACTTTATAAGCGATTATTTCGTTTGAACATTTTATCCTATTTTCTATTTAAGTTGATACACTGTGTATTAGAACATCAACATAATGCATAAAGCAGTTTGTCTTCGTTGCCAAGCAAAGAGATGACAACTATAAGTAATACTAGTCTATAAGTAATATAATACAGTCGACATGTGCTGGAAGACAGGAAGATTTATTTAGTGTGTAATACTTTCAGATTTACTGACTTAAGACTGCAGCTAACAAATTGTTCAGATTATTTTGGCAAATGTCACCCCTCGCCCGAACTTGTCCCTTCACGAGTGAAGCTGCCTTGTATTGGTGATTGACAATACATATACATTTGCAAGGGAAGGTCGCTGATTTACAACGCTGTAGCTAAATGTTATATGTATGTTTGTAAACTGACAATTTTAAAATGATGATTTTAGTATTCTACTTAAGCCGATGGGAATATTATCATGAATAAATGTGAAAAAAGCAAATTATGAAGAAAATATTCGATTGGGTTGGTTTTTAATGTTTTCATAGTTTAATGTTGATGAATAATATTCCATCGTAATTTTTCCCATGTGAGTTGTTTCATCAGCCTGTATTAATATTAATACTCATCATCTTATTAATTGCCACATATTCGTAACGATTTATTGTACATCTTTGCAGAGACAGCATATCTGGTTAACCGCCAAGCGAAATAATTTCATATCGATTTAAAATTCATCAAATATTTCAATGTTATAACCAGCTTTATGAAAGATCTAAACAACGACAACGGTAGTGTCTTGCCACCTCATCAACATGATCTTAAATGCTTAAACAGCCATATGAATACGTCGATGCTGCAACGCGGGAAACAAAATGCTTTCACACTCAGCGCTTTTCTGACTTACATTTTAAAGAGCTCCCTTGTGGCGGGGGCAACTCTCCACTTCAACATTGAACATATCCCAGTGGCAATTTTCATGTCCCATTTAGAAAAATCACATGTTTCTTGGTGATTTTATACGATACGCTAAAATACATTTCTTATCTTATATCTGTCGTTAGATTTCTAAACGATTTGGCACATTTGATATTAGATCAAACGATTGGTGCATATGATAGCAGTATTTGGCTGAAAAATTATGACAATGTAATTGTAGTTACTAGGTATCTCCTCCAGGTACGTATAGCAGTTAAGTTTACAAGGTTTTGATTTTTGAATTGCCAATGTCGTACAAGGAACGTATGTTAAGTTCAACAAAAAGTGGAAACATTGAATTGTTTTAAGTTTCAACTCTCTCGAGGAAATATTGGAAGTACATTAGAGAAACGAGGTTGTTTTAATGTGATGCCACGTGACACTCATCAATCATACAGTCTTCCGTAGGGAATTTTAATCTTAAAAACCGAAACACATTTCATAACGAGGATCCCACCCCTCTCCTTAGTTACACCTGTTTAGGTTGCACAGGTCAGAGGTCATGTGAGCGTTTGATTTTGACGGATCCGCTTGTCGATTTCACCAGCAGCTTTGGCACTTTGTCTATATACAGAGTTGGCATGAACCCATTATAACGCGTGGAAAACGTGTTCCTGCATAGCAGTGTCATGGAAGTGTTGTGTGGAATCAGGGTTAATATATTTTGCTTCCTCCGTTGCAATTTTCGCCACAAAACATATGTTTTTTGCAATGACGCAGAATACCTCATTGTAATGAAACATGAAGTACAGATGACTTGGGCACAGCTTGTATCAGCGGGAGTTTCTGTAAGCGTTTAAGCAACGTTTAAGCCTTCTTCCCAAAACATATGTTACAGGAGACGATGTTTGAGTTGTGTAGCTAGTACATCAACACGGTTGATGCGTATAACACGAAAACAAAATTAAAAGAAAATATATCTGGTCTTTTAATGCATTGACAATTATGTCATAAAAAACTCTTGCTTTTGAACGGTGTTTGAAAGACAAACATGCTGCCATTCAATCGCCCCATGTTGAATATCCCATACAAGCTGGTGGTAGCACAGTACACAGAATGCCCGCTTCGTTTAGAATTGATGATAGTTCAATGAGTAACCTTCGTGTTGGTATCGGCGTTGCATTATCCAAGTGAAGTCATATATTTTACAGAGGAATAGGTTGTAGGATCATCATCCTCCAGTCGCACTTAACTCTGACAAAAAGTGGCGTGTGTTTACACAGACTGTCGTCACAGCCACACTCGATGTACATTTCACTCGCGATGCTACATTACGTAACAGAAAAACTAACATTAGCATTTGTCTGTCTTTCAACATCAACATCAAAGAAAAGGTATTTCACATCATAAGCACTCATAACAATATTCAATCGATATTCCGCTATGACGGATGAGGCCAGTCAAGTGTACCGTACATTACTTCAACCCGTGTAAATATGATACGTGGATTTACTTCAACGATTGGATAGTTTATTTGATATCGTATGGAAGATAGATACGTCTGATGTTCTTCACTTTGGTAGAAGTCGTTTGCTCTGATGCGTGACAAGCGGCAGATTGAATCAAGTACCGTTAAGATAAATTACAAGGATCAAACGTTCAAACAAACATTTGCAAACGATTAACAAACAATCATTGTCAAGGTGTTTGATGTTCATGTCGTGCTAGAGGCTTCCTATCTTTTACCTATAAAACAGATAGCCAGGTAGTTGTGGGCTGTTTAGTTCTAGATGCACAGTGCATATATTCCTAAATTTAATTTAATTTATATTGTATTAATCATGTCTGTTGATATTATGAAACTCTTATGTTCTTATTTACCTAATTCATATACATTTTGTTTTAGGATTGTCCGGAATCGCGCAGCTGAGAAAGCGAAGATGTCTCCCAGTGGTCAGTCCAGTCCGAACGGTTTAGGAGAGAGCGGACAGCCCACGACGTCACCTAATGGGGACATCCTTCAGCGTTCTTCGGGGGGTGGCTACACCATCAGCGGCATACTCAATACGCCCACGACGGCCAAGAGGAAAGGCGACAATGAACAAGGTCAGAACCAACTTAAGTTTGATAAGAGTAATCACATTCAATATGAAGTATTTCCCACACATGTACAACTCGACTAGGGTTTTATCAAGCTTCCACCTTAATGTTATTGTTGTGCGAGCGTGTGGCTGTGCAATGATTGGTTTAACTCAAATATTCAGTCCGACTTTAAGGTGAAATGGGTTATTGTGGTAACTTATTTTCAACCTTCCTTTTGTGTTTTATTGATTCTGATGTCAACATTTTGAAATGGGTAATTACATTTGATAGGAAATATGGTTGATTCCTTTTGATGGTCAGACAATAACACTGCAATATTTTCACAAAACGTTTTTTGTGAAACGGTGAAATAACAAGCTCCCTTCAGGCTACACCGGAGCGTTCCTGGCACTTAAGTTGTTCACTCCACTACCCTTTCTCTGAACTTCAAAATGGGGGGTTATATCCATGTGTTTTACCCAATATAAGGCGAGGTGATGAAGTGCATGTTCAAACAATGCGTTCACATCCACCAAAGTGTTGTGCCGTTCAATCGCCCTTGCCTTGCCCTGACTAAAACAATACGAGGAGACGATGTGTGCCTATTCATGTACATAGTATGTGCTTTTGAAAATATTACAGAAGAAAGTTATATATTTACATGAATGTCAAGAAAGTTTGCCGTGTATTTATTTTTACGTTTGAATGGAGATTTTTAATATGTTAAATCACGAAATGAGAGGCTATTCATTCCGACAATAAGTCTTACATGATTTAATACCTTGAGTCATCGGCTGAACATAGGGGTCAGTTGGAGAAGTACATACATATGCGTGTAGACTATGAATGCAAGTATAGCATGGCTACCTGGTGTAGCTAGAACACTCGTAAATACGGGTTAACTTAGTGCTTAGCTTTGTAGCTACGACAGATCACGTGACATATCATGCTTCACTTTATCGTCGTATGTCGTGATTTCAAAACATCCTTTACACTTCCCTTCTCAAAATAGTTTCAATTATTAAAATGTATTTTATCGCCGTTGCATGGAGTTTCCGCACTCTAGCTTAAAGGAATTACGCGCCTGGCTGCTAAAACACGATATCAAAGATTACAATGTGGATCCCTGTCCGATATATATTTCTAAAATCGGTGACATTTTCACAGCTGTGTGGCTGACCCACACTTACCACTGGTATCGGCACGAGGGGGTATCGGGATATGCGACCGCAGCCTCGCGCAGTACACCGTTTAACACAGGGGATCAGGTTTAACTGAACATGATCCCAGTAAAACAATACTAATTTTCTGGCTGTTCGAAATGATACAAAGCTATTTCTGAACCGTAATCTCGAACCTGGCATTCAGCCAAACACATTAAACCGCGTGTAGACGTGCTTGTTAAATTCTGAAAATTTAATGTCGATTTGTATCGAATTCTTGGTGAAATTTAAACGTATGGAGAAATCGAAAATCAATTTCCGAGTTTCATATCATAAAGTTAATTCAATATCTGATGTAATAAATTAGATTTTTCATATCATTTAAGTTTTTAGCGCGTTTGTTGCAAGTGTCCGTTTTCAAGTTAAAATGAGATGTTTAAATTTGTTGCTTTAATGTTTATCAGGCCTTATATTGTCATGAAATCACTGACCCCAACACTATCGGGTGTGGCCCAATTTTCTAACTCTCGAGCAACATGAATAAATAATAGTTTGTGTGGTGGCATTGTTTGTCGCTAGTCCCCATCTCACAGGAGGTGGATCCGAGGAGAGAGAGAGAGTTTAACGGCGATTTAATCACGAAAATTGACTCCGAGATTGTGAAAGCAACATCTGAATTATTTATTTCGCTTGAAAGGCCGACAAGCAAACGTGGACGAGAGACGTCCTCAGATGAGTGGTAATGGATGGTCTAAATGCTCGCTGTCTTGGATGTAACGTGTGTGTACGGTGACCGAGGCTCGGTACCAATACTGAAATGCTCAATTAACTTCAAACGTCACCTGTCCGACAGGTAGAGTGCGTTTGGTCCCTACGGTAGAAACCTGACACCCCGATGACCAAGCGACGGAAGGCACATTGAAGGCCATTGGCCCAGCGGGGGACGAATCAATGTTTCCATAGGCCATCAGGGGTCGGATTGTCCGAGACCTCGTTAACTGTTTGAGGGAGTCTGGTGACTATTGTACATGATAGAGAGTATTCCATTGTCGTTCTGTTGCTGTCACTGTAACTCACTGCTGGATTGGGTCGAGTCCCCTCCACATCCACAAGGCGGCCTTTGGAATAGTGCCCTGGTCTGATATCAAAGAGATTCGGTCGACCCATCTTCTCAGGATATATTATAGCCGTGTTGTTTGAAGATTAGTTACCTCAACTAAAATTTCATAAACCTGGTAGATTCAAATTAATACTTCTGCGTTCTGGATTCCCACCAAACAACGTCCAGCATGTTGCTAATACAAGTCTCATGATGCAATGGCCGACACAAACATGTGCTGCTGCATTAATGCTGCATACTTCAATGTGCTATGTATCCGACTATGTCTTGTCATCTCGAGGTATGATGAATGCATCAACTGGCAAATTACTGTCAAACACTTTTGTGTCGAACTTACGGTTGTCTCGAAGTAAAAACATGGTCCCTGCGTATTCCTTCTTTATTTATCATTTTCGGTTGTGTCGAACCTCGAATAACTCTTTAAGTATTTACGTAGGTCCCTTCAACTTCGACATCGGTTTTTGACTGTACCTGCTTCGCTGCTGTCTACTATCTATAACTGGTCGATGTCCGACGCCTGCGTTTGCTGACACGTGTCTGCAGACGGAGAAATATAATGTTTACATGTTCCACTCTGTTCTCAGTTGTTGAAATCAACAACCCCAGAACGGATATTGATGAGAGAGGGGTTATCTCATTGTATAGGAAACTGAATGTGTTCAAGCAGGGTATTGCTCTTCAGTATTTGCGAGCGGCTATTAAAGACATTTATGATGCCACGGGGCGTGACCCCACAGTTATCTTAAGTCTGCCCACTTGAGGGTTGGCGTTGTGTAAACGGAGTGTATTTACCGGAGTTCACGCAGCTCTTGTCGTACACGACGATGCATTTTGTGGCGGCTTATTACCCATACAAGCTGTTTGCCATTGCCGAGGCTAAACCTAGTATATACACACACTCGTAATATTATATTGATTCTCTTTTCATGGTTCAAAAGAAAGTGTTAGCCGACGTTTAAGAGCCACGAGTTCGATACTCTAGCAAAGCCGCAATAGGGTGTGCGCTTGCATTGAAGCTCCGTGCCTGGGTCTATCCCGTTTTGCCCTGCGCTAAGATAACCAGTGATGTGTGGCGAAGTGCAGACCCACTTATGAAGCAAAACGCTTAAAGAGGCAACCAACCGTACATCAAACAAAATTTGTACATTCTGTCATCTCCCCTCCGTACAACATGTTCCCATGTTAGCCGGCTGCTCTCTCTCCCAACACCGCCGCGCGTGCACTGTGGCAGACGATCAACACTGCACGCGCTTCCGCCATTGTACCGCACGTGAAGTTTGACATCGTAGGCTGCTCACCATCAACGCTGAAATACATTTCTTGCGAGACAGACATGTTTTTGCCGAGTAACTGTAAAGAATGGAATTTATTGAGCTTTAATTCGCTATCACTTTCAATTTGGAAGGTGAGAATGAATCGTCAGCATCGCCATTGAAGGCTTCGGAGAAAAAGCTTCCCGCCAATTGGTCTCTCTCGCTTGTGAGGATAGGAGAAAACACGTTGAATCTAGTCCATAGAAACTTATTTATTCTGCTTCTCTGCTTCCAATACAGTCGTTAATTAATGCTTCACGGCATAAAGCAGTCGCGGGGCTAGTTGGCAGTGCTCGCTTTATACGGCGCCTGCTATAAATGGTTGTTAGTCGACTAAGTGCACTTCAGTGAGGAAACCCCATTTCCGATAGGATCTAACGTGAAAGCGCGATAGTGGGAAATCATGTCTCTTTGTAAGATAGAGGAAAATCCTCGACAGGGGGTCAGGTATAAACTGGCTGTGTCTTTGCTTTTCACAGCACTCGCAAATGAGCAGTTGAGAATATCCTGCATGAAAGCGGTGTTCTCGCGAGCAGGGGGCAGCGCGGTAGAGAGTTACGAGCGGGGACGTTTAGTACGAGGTTCCGCGCGGCTGCACTCAGCTGGGTAGATGTGCTGTCAAAAAGTCGTCATATTTAGATCTTATATGTTTGAGGTCTTGTTAGCTCATTCTTGAGTCGTTCCATGACAAGTCCAAGACAATACCTTGTATCTCCCTGATCCCACAAGTGACTTTACTACCTTCGCCATCGCCGTACTCTGGCAGTAGTTATCGCTACGACAATGAAGAAGTAGGAACTTATGCCCCTATATCGAAGGCAATGTAAATTGTTTTTGCGACATACCCCGCGGTATCGTTATATTTCTGCTTTGTCGTAAATGAGAGGTTAGCATACATGACACGTCTTCCACGTCCTACCGAAAGCATGGCACTGAAAGTGTTCGCTGATGCGTGTTTGGCCAACGCAACCAACGGCCTTTTCTGCTCCACGTAATGTTGCGATCTCAACGGGGGCTAGATAGACCAATGGTCCTATATTGATACACTGGTCAATAGTTGTCACAAGTAATCTCAAGTGTCTGTATACACTAATAGCCCCTTGTTGGAGAAACGAAGTGCCACTTAACACCGTGTCCAGTAGCTCCGAGGGCGAGGGTTGGTAGCGTGAATAATCCTATATTTGGCGGCGGGTTTCATGTGGAGGGGGTAGCCATGTCGCCTAATGTCTATCATATCAAACGTCGTATGGTTCCTGCTATTAATCGGTTTGAAATTTATCCGTTTGTCAATTAAGAGCATCGTCTAACCGCCCGCCGAGAATTTGGCTTGGGGTTTGACTGGCGCTCTTTTGTCTTGACGTTCGCGTGCAAGAGGGGAAATGCATTGGAAACAAGAGATTCTGAAAGCCTCACGACATCAGAATCTTTTTCATGAATGCCATGGTGTTGTGTGGCTACAGTCAATAAAACCATCAATAACTGTTACGTCTGGACTCGATCAGCGTGTTGCGAGAGCTTAAGTCGCTCCAGGGCTTTGTGGAGTTTGCGTTAACAAGCAGAATGCTTATTTAACGTCAAAGCGGGCAAAGTTTTGCCGACATAAATCCAAAGCTGTTAATTTTCGTTCCCTACAAAAGGACGTTGGCAATATCGGCTTCAGCAATGGCGGAGCGATCTATTGAATTCACTTCCGGCGAAGTGGTGTACATTACGCGACACGATAGAGCACAGGATGTTCCTAACGGAGTTCTATTAACTGCGTTGGGGACTGGGCGAGTAATCTACAGGACAGAAGGAAATTAGTAGTAATTACAAAACTTCATGTGGAGGGCACTAAGCAAGAGGCGTTTCTGGGACTCGTTTTCTGCGCGTGCTTACCCCCTCGACCGGAAGTTGTTTGGAAGTCCAGAAAGGGCCATTTATTTGGTTGAATCATGCTAGGGATTCTCTCACGACAGTTTCCTGTTTGCTTCGCGGTTGTTGTAACAATCGGAGTGGAAGTTATCCTCCGTCCTAGGCAAATTGGCGACACTCTTAAAACAATTAAAGAAATGTGGTAATCATCCATAGACTCGCAATGAAGAAAAACATTAATCGCTCACCCTGAACTAATTCCAATATCCTTTTTCTTTGACTGGGCGTTAGCAGTCGTGAAATAATAGCTCTCATCTTCCATGGCTATGCAAATCAACAGAACAATACATTCACCCTTAAAATAACACATCATAGGGATTATTCAACCCTAGTCACCCATAGGAAGCCATTGAGTGCAAGAACTTCAAGTGGCATCTCAACTAATATATCATGTTTCATTGAACATTTTAATAATAGTGTGAATTTCCAATAATTAAAACTTTTTTCTTGTAATTTCAGTAAACAACGGGTCTCGGGATGGGATTGCCAGTAACGAGGGAGCGAGCAGCAGTGAAAACAGAATTGGAGTAAGTCCCATTGTTTCTGTAATATCCTAAATGATATTCAAGCGTTGATAGCGTTTTCACTATATACGCAACAAAGACGACAAAGTACATGTTGCTTCGTTAGATTGAATTTACACAAAAAAACTGCTTTTTAAAGAACGATGACTCTTGTCAGATGTGGGAGTACGAACGGCCGGCCAAGTTACCACGAGCTGAAGAGGCCAGCACGGAGTCTGAGATTCTTCAGAACGGAGTTTTCACGACTGTTCATGCCCCTTATAGTAGCCAGTTCGGAGCCAACCCAGCCTCAGCAGAAATCAAACAGGAATACCTCCACTCAGGAAACACGAGCGAGAACGCTGCCGGTGGAGCTTATAGTCCCGCAATAGGTGAGCCCTGTTTTGATGTCATGGTGTGTGTCTCATGTTCTGTGTCATATAGGATTTGCATGTCCAGAAGAAAAGGGATGATGTAGAACTTTATTGCCTCAATATCAGAAAGAACTTTGCGCCCAGTCCCTTACTTGCCCAAGGCAACACTAAGCCAGCCCTGTGCCTCATCAACTTACCCAAGAAAGTTATACGCCCTGGCCTTGCAATATTTTGGCATTGCTTTTATTTATTTCTCATGGCCCTTGTTTCATTCTGATGTAAGGCATAAAGTGAATAGATAGTAACATCTCCTTTGCATGCTGTTGATCTTGACTTGTTTTCAAATGCACCTATTCTTATTTTAGCGTAAATGTTGTGAAATCGATTTCTTTTAAGTTTTTGTAAAACACGTTCTTTTTAGTTGCTTGAATATTTGTGTTGAATTTCTTTGAGGTACAGTTGCCCATATAAACACGGTTCCTGCTGGATCGGAAGCTAAGCCAGTTGTCTCCCCTGTTGCTAATGACAACATTCAGACGGCCAGTACCCCTCCCAGTAATTTTGAAGGTATAACCACACCCAACATTTTTTTATTTGCCGTTTCGTAAAGTTTAACTTTCATATGATAATCATTAACTTTTCACTGCCGTTTTCGTAAAGTTTCAATTTCATTTGATAATCATTAACCTTTCGTAACGAATAAAAGAAAGCCTAAAGAACAGCAGGCCGCCTTGGGGGACCCCTATCTCTCTTATTCTACATTAGATGACCATTTGTATTGGCTGATCAATCTGTTGTTTCTTGTTTGAAACACCGAGTGCCTGGATAGGAGATCATCGACCATTTCTGGAAGAATTGACAACCAAATACGTTCTGGTCCCGTTATTCTTATTTTCCCAGTGTACCTCGCCCAACAAGCGCCTAATTGAGGTATCAGTTTCCTCTATGAGTACTGCATGGCAAAGTAAATTACCACAGATGAAAACAAATTATATTAAGCTGAAAAAGACTCGTTAAGATCCTGAGATAACAGAAGTGCTCCAACTCTGGTCGCCGTCCAACTGAAACTCTATCTTCTTCGTAAATTGTACATATAATACTGCATTACAGATGCAGACCGCGTGTGGCGTCGAATCAATGTGTGCATTCTAAAAGGATTTCCCTCTTTGTCACATTGCCTGTCTTCTAGAGACTTTAAGAATACGGCCCAGGTTCCTCAGTCGCCCATCTTTATCAGCCCCGAGACGGATGCTCCCATTGCATGCCGATGTCTCATTCCAAATCTCCATGCGCCATATATAAACCGTCGTATAAAGAATCAATTGTAACTAATTGCATTTATTAGTCGCAGACAACTTTGCTTCTGCTTGGTGCTATCGTGAACTGAAACGCTATTTGATCAAGATGTAAGCAATTAAAGATGAAAGGAGATTTATTGGCAATCGCAAGAGATAATGCGAGAGTGGCCGAGAATCTCGCCTCTCGTCACGCACTGGCTTTTTGGGTCCGCGATGTCAGAGGAGCGGAACCAGGGGCCGTAACTCTTGTTGACTATAATGTCACAGAAAGTGTCCATCATAATGAGTTCGTTTCGGGAATTACGCAGCGTGTGGCATACATATTTTGAAGCAGCGACTGCATAATTAATTTTGTCAAGAAAAATAATTAAAAATCTGAATGACTTTGCTATTATTTAGAAATGATTCGCACAGAGTTTGTGGGAGGGGCGCCCGCATATCGTCAACAATACCTGGATGTCAGTGCGCTCATTTGTCTCATTTGTGTGTAATACCCAACAAGGGTGACAAATGTTGCTATAACGGACTTTGTGTGTTGAGACAATGGCATGATTAGATGGCAGGGACATGTATTGATAGAAACTTGTCATCTGAATGTTTTGAAGTGCTTCCCACTTAGACACGATTAAGGAGCAGGATCGTCCCCGAGGTTGACCAAGCTGTTTCTCTCCCAATACAACTCTCCTTCCTTTCACGTCGAAACTGGTTCAAGCCAATATTGCTTATGATGCTTTTTGTTGAATGTTATATGTTTGGTAGTTTTGTATTTTGGTATGATATATTCTACACTGTGCAGATCTCGCTCAAGGGAGTAAAATACCGTTATGTGTTAATAATTTATTTATTATTCTTAACATGTAAATGATATGGAGTATAACGCAATAGGATATATCAGTTATAGCAAGCCAATTCTGATTCGAAATGAACAGGTCAAAAGCGAATTACGGTTAAAAGGAACTGCTCTTTTAGATCCATTTCAGTTCGGCACATCATTTGTTTCCTTGATAGGTGTGATACATTAAGGTATTCTGAGTTGAACGAGATCTGTAAATGTGTTTTTGTAATGCAATGTAGTGAAATTGACATTGTTAGCTAGTGCAATGTATATGTACTCCCGTCATCCCGTTTGAGTGGCATGACCCCGCATGCGGTGTATCGTGTTGCAGCCAGTGTGACCCCAGCCGCCTCCTCCTCACCATCAAACAACAACAATAACACCACTACCAACAACAACAACATCAACAACAATAACCCCTCCCCACCCTCCAAGCCCGGGACTCCAAACAATTCTGGGAACACGACTTTTACCGAGCTCAAACCGGTACCCACGGTAGCTCCCATCAGTCAGACTTATGCACCGCTCCCGCCCATTGGACAAACCTTCTCAAGTAAGCGTCGCTTGTTGTTACAGCTCGTTTTATTGGTTGATATTGTGCACGCCATTTTGTATGTATATGTAGATATGTATTTATGTATACTCTCGTCACGTTTTGGTATGTTGCATGAATAAGCATGTGATTTGTTGTACAGGGTTAATGCACGACAATCTATATTATTTTTCCTGTTACGACATGTCTTTCAAAGGGAATCCTGAAATAATGAACTCTGTTTTGTTTATCGGGGATGATACTCACAGAGGCCGACTATTATTTCAGCCCCTGACACGCATAATTCGTAGTGGTCACGCCACGGGGTGATCGGTTGTTGATAACTGTAACCAACCTGTCATTTAGCAGTCAGTTGTTCCCCTGCCAGGTAATCTGGTACAACGGAGTCACCACGCCTTCTCATCTCATTCCAAACAAACACTAATCTGATCCATTTCGACACCATTTCTGGTGAACGGGAATCAATGACATCAACATTGCTCACTTGCCAAGAAATGGTTGATTGTTACATGTCTTAATTGCTAACTTATCATTATCAGTATATCTGACGGCGCCGCACACTTGTCAAATAGTAACACAGAATTAATAGCTCTTTGACATCGGGCTGTCTTGGCAGCCAACGTTTATGTACAACACGTCCATGTCCTCACATAGCTAACAGCTCCTATGAAATGTTTTTACGTTGCTTGTCTGTCCATATTCCAATCTTTTGTTTGAACACCTATAGGGGAGTTCTGTAAAGGGAGATAATTCTCCATTACCCCGTACATCTGGCATAAAGGCGCCGTACTGTTCACAGTACCACTTTCAATTTACAGCGAAATTTATGGTTCGATTTTCAAAAACGTATTCTAACTCCTTCTCAGGTTACATCAGGTTCTCACTTAAACCCCTCTTTATCACCAGAATCGCAATTAATTATTCTATAGAGTGACGACATCGCACGTGCACACACATGTCGGGGCGCACCAGGGGGTGCTGAACCAGGCAGCGATCTGCAGTCTAGTATATAGGACTTTTCACACTTCAGGCCTATTTCACCCTGAACCCATTTTTATTTTTAAGTAATTTTAAAAAAATAAGAATCAGGCTTAAAATCAATTTACAACTGAAAAGGCCTTTCATACTGTACCCAGTTAAAAGATTTTCACTTGAGTACTTGAAATCAGTTTCAATCCTGTGCTGCCTCGTGTAATGACCTTTCGAGTAAGGAAATTAGTAACATTTGTCAAATAAAGAATGCAATCTACATTATTTCGCTGTTAAATATTAAAAAGACTTGTTTCTTTCTGGATTTAATGTCAGAAAGCCCTCCAAAAAGAGTAGCTTATACAGACTCACATCAGTGTTATGTATATTTCACTATGGAAGGTATTTCGATCTGAATGTAATCAATTACTTATCGGAAGGACTTATCCTTGTCGGTAGCTACACAATGATACATTTGCCTGAGGCTGTTAGTCCTACAGTCAGTCATTGGCATACATTATTCAGTGATGTAACTAGGGCATTGCCAGTATCAATAAATGCTACAAGAGTTTATGGATCACATACTCTTTGGGGGAAGTGTTTGGTCTTCACTCCATTGTTTTCCTAACGACCCCCTATGTAGGTCAATCCCTTTATGTACTTTGATCTATTCTCTCGCATCTCCTACGTACGACCAGCACGTCTATTACACTCCGAGTGTAAACTTGCACACTAACAATCTTCTCATCATCTGTTTTGTACTTTTCCTTACAAAGCTAAAGAGTGCATCTCACCATAACTTTTTGAATATTTAACATGTCATTCACTTTATTTTTTGTCCGAGTCCAACTAATTACGAGTACAGTTTTCTTAACTGTGGATGATGCTATGTAGGTTGGATGGTGTGCTAGGGGGATGCTATGTTGGTTGGATGGTGTGCTAGAGGGATGCTATGTAGGTTGGATGGTGTGCTAGAGGGATGCTATGTAGGTTGGATAGTGTGCTAGAGGGATGCTATGTAGGTTGGATGGTGTGCTAGAGGGATGCTATGTAGGTTGGATGGTGTGCTAGAGGGATGCTATGTAGGTTGGATGGTGTGCTAGAGGGATGCTATGTAGGTTGGATGGTGTGCTAGAGGGATGCTATGTTGGTTGGATGGTGTGCTAGAGGGATGCTATGTAGGTTGGATGGTGTGCTAGAGTGATGCTATGTAGGTTGGATGGTGTGCTAGAGGGATGCTATGTAGGTTGGATGGTGTGCTAGAGGGATGCTATGTAAGTTGGATGGTGTGCTAGAGGGATGCTATGTAGGTTGGATGGTGTGCTAGAGGGATGCTTTGTAGGTTGAATGGTGTGCTAGAGGGATGCTATGTAGGTTGGATGGTGTGCTAGAGGGATGCTATGTAGGTTGGATGGTGTGCTAGAGGGATGCTATGTAGGTTGGATGGTGTGCTAGAGGGATGCTTTGTAGGTTGTATGGTGTGCTAGAGGGATGCTATGTAGGTTGAAATGGTGTGCAAGTCATTTTGTATTTCAATCACATAATCATTTCGAAATCACTTTTGGTTCATGACATTCGTTAGTGATACTGAATGCAATGACATGAGCTTACAACCATGTTTCCGTCTTTCCCGAACAATGTAACGTCAAAGTATATCTCTATAACCTGGAGACGATCTCTTAAGCTCTTGTGTCAGATCAATTTTTCATCGTTTTGAAATTGAACCAATAGCTTGAAAAATGTTGATGGAGCTTGAGATACCTTAAAATCTATAAAGTGCAACATGTAATTGAAGAGTTGTAGTTGATGTGATGGTAGCGTTGTGCATCAGCTAATCGCTTGTTTGACTTTCAGCACCAGCAATAAGCTACAGCACTGCGACATACACAGGCCAGGCAGGTGTCAACAGCTCGGTACCTCTTGTTCTACCCCAAGTACCCGGAGGAATATATCAGACCGGGAATGTCCCTGGTACGTAGCTCACCTTCCGCAGAAACTTGTTTTCAAGCCACAGACATGCCAACATGCCAAACACAGTAGTCAGCATTGCGTCGGTCCATGTGGTACAGATATTGTCCTCTCAAGTTGATCCGAACATTTAAGACTGGCGTGAAATACAGGTTTGAACTAAGGCTTAAATATTGTGATATAAGGAGATAGTATTAAGAGCGAGTTTCTGGCATACGTATGTTCTGGCTGTGTTGGAGTTAGCGATTGTGGATCATCATATCACGGGGATAGGTTACCCTTGTGTGCTGAGTTGAACATAAAATCGTTGTCTCGTCTGTTGAAGTGAGAAGGTCATGGCCACTGAATGAAAATCAAATTTTGTTTTATTCCTGAGAGTGCTTGAAAGGCTTTTAGTGTCGCGGTTTACAAACAAAATTAATCATTTTAAGGTATTTGTTCGAACTTTCAAGAACCAGACATGATACAATTACATGTGTATTCTATTTGTCAACCAATCACAATATGACACAGTTCAAAGCCGACTCTCAAACAACAAATCAAACACGGTCTTTCTCCGTAGCTCAAACACGACATTATGGTCCAGCCCATAGGGAAAAAATCTAAGGCTTTCCGTGCCTTAATCGTATAACCTTCAGCACAACGCGCTCAATTCCTCGTCAGCAATTAGATGGAATCATGTATTGAATTAGAAGCCCATTGCCCATGCTTGCTCGCAACAGAGAGGCTACCCAAATGAGGCTTAAGCATGCAGCCCCCAGGATATTACAGGATTGAGATTAAGTCGAGGACAGTCGGCCATTGTTACTTCAGCATCGGTCGCGCGATCGTCTCAAATTGGTCGGACGGATGCCCTTGATTGCTGTTTGCGAGGCCCCTTTCTGATTGCCATTATTGGCACCATGATTATGTGCATGTGATTGTTATCAACTGTATCAAATGGGCATGATATCAGCCGACACGTGTCCCGGGCGAGTGTCGTGTGTTCATTGCTTAACGCAACAATATTTTGTTCAAGGATCTGTACTCAGCAATGAGTGTGAAAACCTTAATATGAAACAGGGCGGGTATTAGTGCATTAACTATTGGTTTAAACATATGTTATTCACAATAGTGAAACGGACTTAAGTACAAGTTGTCCGGTTTGCAAACACCCTCCTTCACAATAACTATTCTATGCGAGTATGAAATGTGCTACATTTAAATCAGCAGCGCGTTGTGCCATAAGGTAGGTCAATATGACACCGGTTCATCACCCACACCATACCCCCACACCATACCCCCATTCTGGCTCGTAGTCACCCACCTCAGAGCCGCTCCCCCCAGAGCTTGACACGGTGGGAATCATGTGAGCTACAATATTGGGATATAACTAATCACATGGCAGACAATTTTATTAACATTTGCCTTGTTTTCTGTAACCCATCAAACAAATTGCTTGCCTGGCTTGTAATGCCCGCCCCACTACTGATAGCTGGGCAATAAAGTGCAAGAGAGCTGTACTAAATTGATGCTGGATCTCGCATAATGTCAGTAAATCTCGGCCAAGTCTCGCTCAGGCCTATTGGGATACTCCGCAATAGGCAGGGCCTGTGAGTCTTGCTAATGCAATTACCAGACAATTGGATAAATTGCTTGTAATCATAACGGGGAACGATCCTGTTATTTCCCCACTGAGGGACTGCGGGCGATTGAGATCCCGATTCTGCATGATGTATGTCTTTATCAAAACCCTCAAATAGATCGTCAAAGATGCTTCCAATCGCCGCTTTAGCTATTAAAGTTGAGTGATTCTCGTGTACCGTTACTCCTAGTAACATCCAAGTCGATTTAGATCGACTGAAGTTACGGAGTAATTCAGTCTAATGCACTCGGCTCCCAAGGGCCCCCCCATCACCTCACTCAGCATCCGCACAACGCTGAAACTCGCCAGCAGCCCCACCCTCCTCGTTTGCCTGCGACATTAGTCGCCAATTTACCCTAAAAGAGTTCTCAACTTGAATGAGACACAAAATCAGTTGCAAATGAAAAAAATATAATGAAAACGAATTGGAAATATTAAAGTTACATTTCTTCATGAATTGTAAATCTATTTCTTTTTGTGAAATGTTGCTGTATATAGTGATACACTGATCCATTCACTGGCCCCAAAATGCGCATCACCTTAAAAGTATAGTTTATCTAAATCAGGCAGTGGATCTTTTAAAAAATCCTTCCCCAGGTGCGGGTTAACCCTGTTGGGAGCTATGTCCCAACAACGAGTAGCGAAACGCGTGTTTTTCGTGCATGCCACGCTTGTAATGATTAATGGGTAGGGCGCCGAAGATCAACTTTGCTTGGTGTCAGTTTTCCTACTGACAAAATTCATACGGTGGTACTGTGCTCTGGAAAATTTAAATGTAAGCGATATCCTTGAAGCCGGACCTAAATTAGCCGATTGTTTTGTGATTAAAGTGTAAACGTTGTGGCACTAGCTAAAATAGTTATTGCACGGGGAATATGGAAAGCCAGATGAGAATTTATTGAAAAGTTGGGCGACAGCTGTAAAAGTGTTTAAAATGTCTCGCGAGATCTCGTTTAGCGCCTCGTTTGCAAGCTATGTGACGTCAGCCGGGACCCGCCATTCAAAAATGATTTTAGTTAAGATAATGCGCTACATGTGTGAATCGTTGCCGTCAGTATCATGTCTTAATCAAATAATATTCCATTTTAAGCGGTTAGCTAAAATGCTTAGAGTTAATCGTAATATATTTTCTATATTTCCGAAAGTGAAAACTGACATTTTCTTCTGCTCAAATTGCTGATTTTGAAATCGAGGCTCGAGCTGACCGGATGGCGTTTTGCGAGGAAGTGACCACTTGTCAGTGGCTACTTTATGGGATACATATGAACGCATTGGACGTGTAATAGCAGCGGCTTCTGCGACAGCCATTCGCCACAAGCCCGGGGGAGTAAACTGCTTGGATACGAAAATCTGCTTGACATGTCATGTCGCGATCGCTCTACTTAATAGCGGGGACCAGTCATTGTTACGGACAGCACCACTACAATAATTGGTCCCCCGAGAGCATCTCTAATTTCGGCGGCCTGTTAGTTTACAAATCTTTTCTCCTATTAATTAGCGAAGCAAGCTTGTCGCGTTGTTGCTGTATTCGCTCTAAATTGGGGACTCCATTAATTCGCGATAAAACGCGATTGTCTTAGGCTATCGGGACGCGTCGATCTCAAAAACACGTCGAAAAATAATGACATTGAAATAATATTATTTAGAGTGGTGGGGCTTGAATAGAGGAGGGAAATAGGCTTGATTGTTAAGGTTTTATCTAATTTCGCCTGTCAGTTGCCAATGAAATGCGAGCGGTGATGATCCGAAACCCAATCAGCGAACGGCCATAGGGAAGAAGCATTCAATTATCCCCCGTTCTCAATTTACCAAATTTCATTAAGAGAGATCTGTTGGCAAAATAAGCACTGCTATGTTTCTCCGACGAGCTTTCAACTGTCAACGAGGTAGAGTTGTTAGAAATAATAGTGTCGCGGGGCGAGAAACACCTAGCGGCCGAAAACATGATTTAAATGCTCTGGAAAACACTCGACCGATGGCGCTGTCATCCACTGCTCGTGTATGTATCGCGGCGAACCATCTGTTATTTTAACATGAAACAGAGATGACGTACCCTAAACCTGACGATTTTTTCGCGACGACAAATTATTCAATTATTGATTTTAGTTTGCATTCACCCCACGGGGCAATTGTTTTAATGTTTACGCACGACCCGCCATCTTGGATTTTGAGGCCATTGGAGCTGGCAACAGCAGGAGAGAAATTACGAAAAGTTGGATCGGTCGGGAAACGAAACAATGAGTGACTGAAACAATAACGATGAGATTTCAAACAAGTGATGAGCGATACGGTGTCATATGACGGTATAAAATATAATGGTATTGCCATTAATCGAGCCTGGAGACAAATATGCCCTCCGCCGTACACCAATCACACTGTAAATTGAGCCCACTCACACTGTTGCACTGCGTTTAGATGGACAAACAACTGTGATACGAGTTGGTAAAATATTATTTCAGAGAGTAACACGACACTCACTGAAACAAATATTATCGGTAAACGACAAAATGGAACCGCCATAAAGTATGAAAGGACGTTTTAATTCCCATGAATTGGAATTTAAAATACACCAATGCAAACCTTCGGGTCTTTTTAGTATTTTTTAAAGACATGAAAAAACACCAAATGCGGCCTACACATGTTGTATAATCTATTTCTTATCAGTTTGATTAGTGATGTTGTAACTGTTTTTAATGTGTGCGGATGTTTTATACAAATTTACCCGCCAATGTAATCCATGGAACTGGATTGACATACATGTAAGACATATGAAGGATTATAATACTTTGTGTCAGCTAAAATACGTAGCGGCGCAATTTGTATCCCGATATCGTTGTAATTAAAAGCTGCATTTCGAACTGGCGTTTAGCCTCAAATTGAAATAAGCCGAAGCAGCGAACTGCTCCAGAGTCGCCCTTGCGAACTGTGACGGACGCGGGACACCGCCCACTGAGGCACGGTACAGACGGGTGCCACCACTCATGACCGATGTTCTCAGATAGCAGTGAAACTGATGTGGTCACTGTGTCATGCAAAACACTGATGATGTTGGTGTGGTCACTGTATCATGCAAAACACTGATGGTGTTGGTGTGTTCCCTGTGCCCACAGACACTGATGGTGTTTGTGTGTTCCCTGTGCCCACAGACACTGATGGTGTTGAAGTGTTCCCTGTGCCCACAGACACTGACGGTGTTGAAGTGTTCCCTGTGCCCACAGACACTGATGGTGTTGAAGTGTTCCCTGTGCCCACAGACACTGATGGTGTTGAAGTGTTCCCTGTGCCCACAGACACTGATTGTGTTAAAGTGTTCCCTGTGCCCACAGACACTGATGGTGTTGAAGTGTTCCCTGTGCCCACAGACACTGATGGTGTTGAAGTGTTCCCTGTGCCCACAGACACTGATGGTGTTGGTGTGTTCCCTGTGCCCACAGACACTGATGGTGTTGAAGTGACCCCTGTGCCCACAGACACTGATGGTGTTGAAGTGTTCCCTGTGCCCACAGACACTGATGGTGTTGGTGTGTTCCCTGTGCCCACAGGCACTGATGGTGTTGAAGTGTTCCCTGTGCCCACAGACACTGATGGTGTTGGTGTGTTCCCTGTGCCCACAGACACTGATGGTGTTGGTGTGTTCCCTGTGCCCACAGACACTGATGGTGTTGAAGTGTTCCCTGTGCCCACAGACACTGATGGTGTTGGTGTGTTCCCTGTGCCCACAGACACTGATGGTGTTGAAGTGTTCCCTGTGCCCACAGACACTGATTGTGTTTGTGTGTTCCCTGTGCCCACAGACACTGATTGTGTTGATGTTTATTTTGCAGCTGCTGAATATTCCACGTACAACTCCACCCCCTACACCCAGTACAGCGCTGGCCCCTACACCGACCCCTCGTGGGCAATGAGATACGGAACTCCCAGTGGTTTATTAAGTGAGTAAACTTTTCACAGAGACATTGTATTGGTGTAACAAAAAGAATTAATTCATGTGTAATTACTGTAAAAATGTCATCCGATACTGCCACAACTGTGTTCTTTAAATTGTTCCAAATCGTAATATTTTTAATTTATTATTATGATTTTTATTATTAATCTTATCAGTGTCATATGCTTGTTTAGTTAATGTATTTATAAACACATCATATCAACCTTCGAACCTGCTTGCAAAGTCATTTCCTAAATTACAGACACGCCGTATTATTATCCACACAGTGTCCGAAGCGACCCCCCAACAACAGCCACACCAAGCAAAACCTAGAGACATGAGTCTGGAAGAGCTACGACATAAAGCACGCAATCACGCGGCAGCTGTCTTCGCAGCCCAAACCACCTACTGATTGGCTGAAAATCAACAACACGCATTTTCATTGGCTGGTGGATTTTCAAATGTGTAATAGCGCGGGTGATTGAACCATGTATTCTCTTCACCTTGTCATAATGCTGGGCGACAGCACGTGACTGCTGGCACTGATTGCACGGATGAAAGAGACACTTCTTCAAGTGACATTATCTTCAGAAGAATTCCTGGTTTGGATGAAGAGTTCACGTGACCTGACTGGCCAAGGGACTTAATTCATCAGTGTGTCCAACATGTGCCGAGATAATAGACTCCAGTGTGACGCATGGTCGGACGATGTGACGCCTGTGTTGATTGGTCGGAGTTGTGTCACGTGACTGATAATGAAGATCTAAGTCTGGTCTCAAATAACAAGATAGTCCCACATTCAGACTTATTGACTCATGAATTATGGTATTATAAGAGAATCTAGTTCTGATGTTATATTACGCCTATGTTATCAGAGATTATTTTACATCCATACCCATCAGAAAATATTTTAAGACATACTTGTTTGAATACTCAGTGTTACATCTGCTGTCTTGCCATAGAAATCTCCATAGAACTGTATTTTATTGAGATTTCCACATGTCAATGGTGTTTGATACTGAGATAGCTGATCCTGTGTGCTGCTTGTATACAAGGTACAGCTGTAGGTGTGGCAGCATGGTGGTGACGCCAGGGATGTCCAATATATAGTTGTCTCTTACGGAAATCTGTCCCACATGTGGTGCCATACAGATGACACTTGCCATCATCATGTTCATGTACATTTCCTCCAGCATAGATCCACCAGCGGGACGTGTCGACCAGTCCACCATCATACGTACTAATCAAAACGTTTGTTGTGTGCAATATTTATTAAACATTTCATTTGCCACACACATTATAGATTTCATGATATAGAGATATATGGGAGCCTAGACAAATAGATACTAGATGCATTGTGAAAATACAGCGAAGACCGTAGAGCGAATCACCAGTATTTATGGAGACGCATTCGGGACACAAAGTCAATCATTTTGAAGATAGTGACTTATAATTTCACAATTGTGAACCGAATGGGGCTCCATACGTTACTCCTTTGGGGCAGACACATATCTTCCCACATGAGGAGACGCCTTGCTCAAATATACAGTTGTGTGTTTGTTACGTAGAGCCAGAGAGCGCAGTGTATAACCATTTACGGTAACATCGAATCTAATGTGTAAAGTCTGTTTCAGAATTCTTACAGATATCGGGTAAAAGCTCTCGTTCATGTCAAACAAATTCTAGATTATTGAGGTATTATACTGTCAATCAAATGCGGCTATTCCGTGTGTATATTTTATTTGTAGATACAAGATAATTGTACAATTTATCATTCACGTTCATGTGAACACATATGACTGAGAATGCGTGAATGCTAACATAGCCATTACCGTTTTCGTTGTGTTTGTTAGTAAATCTTGCCATCAATGCCATTTTACCAGTTTTTTGTGTCAAAAATGGCATTTTTTTTATCTTGACGCATTATCACTGCATATGGTGTGGGGGTAAAGTAGTTAGAACACCCCTCCATATACATACATGGGGCCCGTGTCGGCCATTAAGTGCTCAAATTGCTTTCTGTATATAGCAAGTATTTCATTGTAGCTTTTATACGAAACAAAATTTTAAGCTCTCTGCATTATTTTACAGGTTTTAACCTTTTAAAAATAAAATATAATTTCCTGTATAATTTGTATTTATTTAAAGCTGTTAACAGTTAATTCGAAAATATAAATATTTACGGAATAAAGTTCCGCTTCTTTAAAGTATATCCAGGTTATTTATTTTATTTAGATCTGTAAAAGACTACCAGATTTTGATATCCACCTCCTTCTCACGCCATATATATCATTAAGTCATTATTCAGTTCAAATCATTTCTGTCATGTAATTCAATCGCTATGTCTAACGATCTGCTGAAAGTGTACGGTATCCACTGCTGATCTCGGTAAACAATTCTTTTTTCTTGGTCAAACTATTGTAAATTAAATTTTATATATATGTACCTTATTGAAATATCAAATACATACTTATTTGCACCTAACCTGCTCAATCAAATTCCAACAATCAAAACTGTTTCTGGTTGGAAATACACTTTCTTCCATGTTTGTTAATACTGTTGTCTCATTATGTTAATTTATCTAAATCATTACCCTCCTGAAATATATTGAGAAATATCAAATGTGCATAAAGATCTGAATCTCTTTTTAGCAAAATTTTCTTTTGCGTGAATTACACAAGAATAATTTAGAAACACGGAATTTATTAAGCTCATTATTTCGAACTGTACAGAATTATAAGTCTCTAATAATAATCTATACACGGACAGGCTTATAAACTATGCTGTGTACCTGATGACATTTACGCTTTCATCTCATGAGTTTAATGGAAATATGATCTTTACTTGTTCAAGTTTTGCTCAATACTCTTATATTGTTTTTTACGTTGTTGGGCCTTGTGTCTGACAGATCCGCCTGTTTCTGTGTTTGTGAACGGTACTCGAGGTAAAACAATAGTCTATTCTGTTTATGTATCTAAATCGTGTATATGTGTGAAACTCACATGAATAAATTGTCATATTATTCTTTTACAACGAGTTGATTGTATTTTGATTTCAGCATGAGGTGCGGAGCTTCAAGGTAAAAGATAGTCAGCACGTTAATGTGGAGTACTTCCTGTGATCAGCCAATACGTCCTACGTTGTGAACAGGCTAGTCAATCGTACGAACATTAACAATATAGAGAAAGCAGACAAGTTCCTTTATGAAAAACCGTATGTATACAACATACATGCCCACATGGTGTGATGTAATTTGTGGTACCTGCATTCTGTTGTGTTTCGCTTGAAACAGAATCGCTCGAACAACAATGACAGTTCCCGTTTAGGCTCAACAAAAACAAACATCTCGCTTCTTATCCATGTTAGATCAAAGCGAGGCGCAACATTCCGACACTGCTGATTGAGACTGACTGTTTATGACACGCGATGGAAAATACATGGCAACATGAACCAAGCTGTTAGCCAGAAGACAACAATTGTTATCTGTAGGGAAAGGAGGAATAGGAATAGAAGTGAAATTCGTTCTCGATCTGTTTAGATAACTTATCTGTTCAGGAACAGTTCTTACACAGTGAAAACTATACTTGTTTGTCACTGACACAACTGGAATTGGCCTTCTCGTTGATCTATGAAGAACTGCTACTTGAAGTATTATCAAGACCCATCTATGAGAGTGTTCAGTATGGATGTGTTATGTTTGTAAATGCTTGATTGGCAATTTCAATTTGATTTCCAATCTATAGATACATTTCATCCAAAAGTTAACAGCCATGCTATCGCATTGTTTATCGTAACTTTTACACAACTCAAGTTGGTGGATATTAGGAGTATCCGCCGTGTGCTCAGGACTGTATGACCACATCACGCATCGATGTCTCACAGCATGACATTTACTACAAATCACACACACACGTCTCGTATAGATTACCCACGGAATTACAACATTTAAATACCATGTAGTATGGCTACGTTTCTAACTGATATATATATATATATATATATGTGTGTGTGTGTGTGTATGTTCTGTAAAAAGTTAACGGTATCATACACCATCTTACGAAGCTGCCAAGCACGATTGACTGCACTCAGCAGTGTCAGACATACATGGCGGTATGTCTCAGTGAGAACTGCCCTAATAGCAATCAACAATAATCTCTTTGTAACTTATTGTGTTTGTTCAGGTAATCAACAGACTACAAGCCATTGTAAATGTATGTTCATAGATAGTTCCCAGTACCTCCTGTTCTTGTGAGAGTCCAGTGATGCGTTCATCGGTCGGGCAGGTTTGACATGTATGTCATCGTACCACTGAAGACGTGGGAAGTCGCTAATGATATCAATCACTGGTTTGCATAGCTAATATTTCATAATTTACAGGCGGTCATGATATAGCTGGAATATCGCTGACTCCGCCTTAAAACAACAAACAAACAATCCATTATGACCACCTTTCTTTTTGGTTCTACTGGAGTTCCTACAGTCGGAGAAAATGTAATTTAAGAATATACACGGAGAAATAATTCGGTGAATTAATGGAATAAAACTGATGACACACTTCCTACAGACCTAGATCTGTATGAGCGGGTACTACACACAGTGAACAAGCACCGCCTCGCTACACGCCTACATGTGCATGGCGCTTAATATCAGATAATATCACAATACAATACAATACAATACAATACAATACAATACAATATAGTTTATTAAAGTCTCACCATTTGTACAGCAGGTATAGGCATTCACTCCGGAATCCGAGCCTGTGTCCTTGTAGATAAACAAAGGGTCTTCTTGGTAATGTCCTGCCAGAATCTAGCGTTAATAACAAACTATCTTTCAACTGTTTGCTCGGCTTGGAGTATTGCTGCATAAGTTTACACCCTCGTGTTTGTCATGTAAATACTGTTTCATATACACTCCCTCATAATTCCCATGTGCTTGCTGCGAAAGGTGGCTTGTTATGAATGAGGCGTTTACTAGAACACCCGTTTTGAAAACTTGCGGATTGTACCACAAGGAGAGCATTGTAGGGGAGATGCTTGTCCAGGGCCCCTTCCACGACACAATCTCAGCTGAGGCTACCCTTAACCACCAAGGTTATATTTAAGGTTACCTTAGTTTGAAGTTACACCGGTTTCACAAAGCAACCTTAGCTCGATCTTAACTTGGTTCGCAAACCTTAGCGGTTAGGTTGCGATCATAAGGCTGTATGACATCGTCTTATGAAACCATTACTCGACATACTGCTAAAATGCAATCTTGAAGAACGGGATAAACAAGACGTCCACACGTTAGAGCAGTTCCCCCTCAACTACCAAAACAGGACTCCAATCGCGGAAAGAATATCAAGACAAACGCCACAACAGTTTATCATAATGATCCCCATGCATGTCTTCATAGTGTTCATTATCTTGAATATGGAATGACGAGAGGGATAATTCTCTAACGCGGGTAGCAATGCCGGTTGCATGTTCTACATGTATCACGATCGTCACTAATAAAATTAAATACAAATGTCGACTAAATCCTCTCTTACTCTTAATACCTTACAATTTTTTTACACTTCAGTTGTTAATTTTAATCAGCTATTAACACTACATTCACTGCCATTCCCGCCTGTTTAAGCCACATACTTCGTTTATGAATAAATGTATACCGTCTTCATTGGGGAAAACGTGTTCACTTTCAAAACAAGGTATGTCGCTTCACAGGGAGTTTTTCAATTAAATATAGTTAAATACTTAGGTACTTACATCACTTACGCTCAATGAGTCGTTTTCCATGCAACGTTTCATTACTTAGCTGGTTTGTGAATATACATGCCTCTGTACTTATGCCTGTGAGAGCGCAGTTGAAAATTTAGAGTACGCAGGTATATTAAAATTGATTCTAAATGCGATTCCCCCCGTCCGTTGGTGACATTGTAGAACACACATCAAATACTCATGTGTTAGACGGTATAATCTCCTGGTATAATACGAAAAAACTAATCACATTAAAAAAGAAAAGAAAATTAATATTTAATTATCTAACTAATTTTCAGTACATATGTGTAAACCATGGTACCCCGGAAATCATGAAAATATTCATTCGATGAGATAAAGAGTGGAAAATACAAATATCGTCTATATATTATTAATAAAATTTATTCTATAGAAATGTTATTTTCTTTCAGCTGAAGTCTTGATATACCATGTGATCGATTGATTATTAACCTTTAATTGAAGGATTAAATCTACTGAATTGTGTGCTAAGATAGTTTTTTCATGAAACTATATTTATTAACTTAAAATAAATTATTTACACTTAAAAATTGGATTGCACCAAAACATTAGAAACTTTATGAAAACAGGTTGAAAACAGTCGCTGAAACACTGCCAACTTAATATCCAAAACGGCTATGATACCCGTATCAAAATAAATCACAACCGAGTAACCAGTTCTTGTTCGTTTCATTCGTGCCACCATCAAACATGGGTGTGTACTTTCTTTTGCCCCGTAATATATTATAAGAAATACCCTTTCATACTTAGTGTATGAAACACCCCTTTATTTAACATAATACATTGAATAAACACATAAAAAATACTTAAGTGAGTTAATGTCTTTTTCTCGCAACTAAGCTTAAGGTTAACTTTATAAAGGTTGTTTCGTGAAATGGGAAGTCAACGTTAACGATGAGGAAGAGAATTTATGGATGTCAGCTCCTTTATTATGAGGAACACAGCGTTTCGGAGACTATGCTTACTCCTTTATCAGGTGAATACATTCTATGAGGCAGAGAACATATATCTGTACCTGTAAGAACAACAATCGTAAAAACATAGCGAGGAGGAAACTTAACAAGGGGGCCAACAGATAATTGGCGATGATGGGTGATTAGCAATGGACAATTGGAAGCCAACACTCAACAATAAATTAGCGCTAATAGTTGATAGCGATTTACAACTGGATTTATTTGATTTATTTTCTCGATATGAAACAATTTTACTGCAGAGGTTAAAATTAATATTCAGTATTTTAATATTTTCAATAATTTCTGCTGTCCGTATATTTAAATATCATTCTGGCGTCTTTTGAGGAAGTATACACTCTCCAAAAAAAGAAACGCACAAGTAGATTTTTAGTAAATTTATTGCATCTAATAAAGTCGATATATTTAATTTGATATCATAGATACAAATATGAATTTTTGGAGTTCGATAGTCACATGGTGTCGTTGAACAAAGGCATTGAAGGTGAGGTGAAATGGGGTTTAACGTCGCGTCCAAGATTATTGCACTTATATAGCGACGTGCATGCACGTGTGTGTCTGTGTGTGTGTGGCTGCTTGTACTAGTCCGGACTGATGCCGATTTATAGTGCTAGCACACTGAGATACCATGCCGAAGTTTAACATGAATACCCCACTCAGACACAGTATACTGACTCCGAGCCGACCAGTCCTTGTTTTAGTCCCTTAATGCCGAGCGCCAGACAGGATAACAACAAGTAACATCTTTTAACGTCTTTTGGTATGACGCGGCCGGGGATCGAACCTCGAACCTTCCGCTCTCTGGGCGGACGCTCTACCACTAGACCACGGAGGCGGTCCAAAGGCATTGAAAACTCTTCATTGTCATGTCACATAAGGCCACAAGGTGGCGCTGAACTCAGTATCTCGAGTGACCGCCCCGGGCAGCAATCACGGCTCTGCATCTCCTCGGCACTGACTGGATAAGTGTACGAATTCTGTCCTGCGGAATTCTGCCCCATTCTGCTTGTGACGCGTTGGTCAGTTGTGGGAGTGTCTGCAACGTATTCTGACGTTGACGTACACGTCGATCGAGTTCATCCCAGAGGTGTTCTATTGGGTTAAGATCTGGAGATCTCGACGGCCAGGCCAAGCCGTTTATGTTGGCATTGTGAAGGTAGTCTACCGTGACATGACTTGTGCGGTGGAGCGTTGTCCTGTTGAAATAACTCCCCCTGGCGGTCAATGATTGGAAGAAGATGAGGTTGAAGAATTTGATTCATGTAGCGATTTGCCA